TATGGAGCTTTTTGAAGATTTCTAGAAATTTTTTGTATTGTTGCTCCACTTTTTGCTTCTTCAAGCGCTGTGGAAAGGGAATCGGAGGTTCGTAGGGGTTGACTGTGACTTTGGCATTATCTTGTGATTCTTATGAATTTTCCTTTGAACTTGATTCCTTTACAACTGTCTCCTCTTCAGCGGAGGAAGATGTTTCTCCAATCACTCCCGGTCTCTTGACATGAATTTCAAGTAATTGAACTCCACTTCGAGTTGTAATGGCATTTGCTTGCTCTTTAGGATTGATTTCTGTATTACTTGGTAAGTTACCTGGTGTTCTGCAAGTCAATGCGATGGCTAGCTGCCCCATCTGAGTTTCCAAATTTTTGATGGCTGCATTTTGATTTTAAAGTGTAGCTTCGGCCTTCTCCATGAACTTTCCTATCATATCTTCCAATTGAGGCCTCTTCTCCTGTTGTTGAAACTACCCCTGTGGCTTATTCTGATTTTGGTTGCTCCACGAGAAGTTGGGATGTTTCTTCCAGCTGGGATTGAAAGTCTCACCATATTGATTATGCTGCTGGCGTTGTCCCCACTGTGTGTAGTCTGCTTGCTCAATTCCTTGCATGAGTATAGGACAATCTGATGTTTTGTATTCGGCTCCGCATTCCTCACAATTGCTCTTCTTAGCTTGTGATGCTTGTGATATGCTCTCCATCTTGTGATACAGAGAATCAATTTTTGCAGAGATTGCTGAATAAGCGTCCACCTCGTAGACACCTGGAGTTTTCTTTGGAGTTGCCCTCTCAGAAGACCACATGGCTGATGTGGTAGCCATTCGCTCGAATAATTCCAATGCCCCATCAACTGTTCTTGTGGATATTGAGCCATTTGATGCTAAATCTACCATGCTCTTGTGGTACGGAAGTAATCCTGTGTAGAAGAATCGGATCTGGGTCTTTTTATCGAACCCATGCTGAGGGCATTTTCGAAGCATGTTTTTAAATCTGTTCCAGGCTTCATCAAATGATTCAGTCTCTCCTTGATTGAATACTGATATATCATGTCTCAGCTTTGCTATCTTGGCTGGAGAGAACTTTGTGCAGAACTTGTGTGCCAGCTCATTCCATGTAGTGATACTTACAATCGGGAGTGAATCCAACCATTCAAGTGCTCGGTCTTGTAGCGTGTGAGGAAAAAGCCTCAACCTAATGGCGTCGTCCGAAATCCCTTGGTATCTGAAATGTTGACACATATCCAGAAATCGAGATACGTGTGTGTATGGGTTCTCCTCAGCCTTGCCATAGAATTGGTGTCCATTTTGAAACAGCTGTATCACATTGGTCTTCAACTGAAAATTAGGTTGCCCAAACGGTGGATACACTATGCTGGACTGGCTTTGAATCACTTGAGGAGTCAAGAAATCCCCCAGAATTTCATTCCCTTCATCCATTGCCTCTCCTTCGTTAGCATGAATCCTGGGATTGTTTAACTCGTTGGCCATTTGTACTTGTGCTTCGCGGTGATTTCTTTGTCGTCGGTGAAAGGTGCGCTCAATTTCAGGATCAGCTGGAATCAATTCTCCTCCAGGCAATCGTGATATGTAAATCTGAGAATTAAAACCAGTACGAGTACTTAGATTCAAACAATTTAATTAACTAAAATACAAATAGAGAATAATAAACTAAAATAAAAATAAAAATAACAATAAAATTATGCTAAATAAAAATTAAGTTCGAATTAATGCCTCAAGAAATAAAATTAAACTAAACTCAATCCCCGGTAACGGCGCCAAAAATTTGTTCGCGAAATATTTCTTTCGATTTAAATTACCGCAAATGTACGGGTCGTGACAAGTAATAAAATGGACTTTAGAAGTCCGAGTATCGTCCCACAGAGAAAGAGTAGTTCAATTTTACTTATTTTAGCCTTAACCGAAACTAATTGAGTTAAAATGAATTTTGGAATCAAAAACCCTAATTTTGGGAGAAATCCCCAAATTAAAAAAAAACTTAATTTCAAATCAAACCCTAAATTGGGGGAAATCCCCAAATTGAGAAACCCTAATTACTTAAATTCACTTAACTAATGACTAATTACGAAATGTTATGAAAAATAAATGAAATGTATTGTCAATTTATGAAAATCTATGTAAAACGAATGCACTAGGATCACGAATCCTCAAATAATTACCAATTAAACCCTAATTTCACAATTTTGATAATTCAATAAGAATTTGATAAATCAATGCTCCTAAATCTATTCAATACTCTCTCTCGAGATGTGTTGAACCTATTCTCATAAATCATCAGCCTATATCTCTATGACGGATGCAATTATACAAGAACACATATAATCTTTTTGTGAGCAATTAAAGATTTGCATAGGGGTATATTTCTATCCCTTATCGGACCCTATGATGAATTATATATGTCAAGTTTAATCTAATTTTCTCAAATTCAGAATTAAACCACCGAATTCACACAAATCAAGTGCACATTAATTGTGGAAATGAATAAACCAATATAATCCATTCAAATATCCCATCAAACTAATAATTCAAAATCATGAAATAGCAAGTTTAATAATAATTACATGGTTCATCGATCACCTAGTTGCAAAAATATAGCCTATCATGATAAAAATAACGAAATCTAACAAAATATGAATAAAATACATCACCGGGTTATCAAAGATTGAAGAAATCTCGTAAATCTTGCATCAATTCTTGTTCTTGCCTTCAATTCCACTCCAAGATGAATGTTTTGCCTCCCAAGTCGTTCGTGCGGCTTCTGGACGTCTTGTTGCTATTTAAACCCGTCCAAATTAGGTTACCAAAGGAGTTGCAATCATATAAGGAAACTGCAAAATTCGGGAAAAAATTATACCTATGCGACCGCATAGGTTTAAGAAAAATGTCATTTTTAATCCCTGGAGGTTCACTCGCGGTCGCATAGGTTTTATACTATGCAACCGCATAGTAGAGCTACTTTCTTGTTTGAGTCATTTTGGTCCTCAAGTTTCATTCCTTCACTCCTTGACCTCCTCTCTTGTTCCTAGTTGCTCCAATGTTCCCTTATAACTTCCAATTGGTGATTGGCTTGACCAATTGCTTGATGTGTTTATCGGGTCAACTTTCAGACAATTGCAATTTGGTCCCTGAATTTTCATTTTGCTCCAATTTGGTCCTTTTTCGGTTCTTTTCTCCTGAATTCCACTATTTCAATAGAATTTCCTACATTGCATGAATTTGACAAAGTTAAATAACAATTCAATCATTTTACTTGTATTTAAGTCATGTTTGTGATGTAAATAAGTGTGCAAAAACACACTTATCACATTGCTACAGCACGCGAGTACAACTTTTTTTACTATTTGTAATTTAATACAAACTCTCTAATTATTTTTGAAGTAACTCATTTCGTTATCAACAAATCATGCATTAGTGCTACAGGTATATAAGAATACACATAAGGGTGTCCATAATGCCACATGATACTATATCATTTACATGTTTAAAGCACAATCAACTTTTTCAATCAATATTTTCCCTCCACATCACATTATACCATCCTTTATGTATATTTATTATGTACCTTAGCAAAATCATTTTTGTTTTCTATATCTAATGTCCTTAAAACTTGCCTGTGCAATAAATACTATTTCTCAATTTGATGCTTTGAATTTTAAATTTTTTCAATATCCATGTATTTTTTAGGTATGAACCATGAGATTTTTATTTTATTTTGTTTTTAATTGGAGTTCTTTGTGTTACTCTATATTGAAACTTACAAAGATACAAATATGACCTGTGGGCATTATTTATTTAACTTCAGTAGGAAAAGATGAAATAATATCATTTTCACCATTGACATGTATAACCAATTAATATCCGTCACATTAACCAAATAATAATAAGCAGGTCACATTTGGAGTATACTTTTTATAGGGATAGTTACATAAATACCCATAAAATTAGGGACATTTAGAAAAATCATGCTAATGATTATGTGAAGTAAAAAATGTTGTCTATGTTATTTCCCCAACAAACGCCAGATTTCATTTTCCTAACCAATTATCCCACCCTTTATCCTACCATCTGACACACCATCGGACCCTTTCCCGCCCTAAGCCACGTAATTCTATTGACTGACTTTTTATATTGCATACTTGTTTGAATTGATAATAATTCATATTTCATTCTACTAATTTTTTTTAGCTATTATATATTGTAATTCAGATGGTCAAAAAAATAAATTCTACAAATTCGAAAAAGTGATGCACTAAAAAAATGTGATAGCAATTCAAAAAAAGCAACATGCAAAAAATTCTACAAATTCAAAATGGTGGCAAAACTCAAAAAGTGACAGAAATTAAAAAGAAAAAGAAAAAAAAAGGTGATAAATGTCACTTTTAAAAAAGTGACATTGTGTCACTCTTTTAATAAAAGTGACATTTTTTAATATGATATATAATGTCACTTTTATTTTTATTTTTTTAAAAAAAGTGATATTTGTCACTAAAAATGTGACTACAAAAAGTGACAAATACTAAAAAAGTGTTAAAAATTAAAAAAGTGACAAAAATTAAAAAAAGTGACGAAAGTTTAAAAAAGTGACGAATTCAACAAAAAAAAAAAAAAAGTGACAAAAAAGTTACACTAATTAAAAAAAGAGAGCACTTTTTTGACAACATTAAAAAAGTGACAATACCTTCCACCCCCTCCTCCTCCAACACATACACAATGGTTGTAAACTGTGTGTATGGAGTGATAATCCTAGGATTAGACAAAATCTATCCCCCTCTGGATATCAACCTTTTGAGTGCCTCTCAAGTATCAACAACCCCACATTGTCCCCGGCCATCGTCTTGTCCAAAGTCTTTTGAAACATCTCAACACCAGTCATAGACTTGCATTAGTATTCCTAATCTCTGTTAATCTAACAATATCCTTCTCTTTTATATTAAAAAGACTTGCATTCGATTTGCATCTATTAAAATCTCTCAAATGTTGGCAGGACTTAACAGGAAAGCAACAATTTTCTTCAGAAGATATTGAAACTCAAAATCCTAATTGTTTACAAGCTGGTACACAGCCACAAAAGGAGCAATAATTATTTATTACATGCCATATTAAACTAACATATCGCAAGGAAATACAAAGATGCATGTTTAAACAGCTAAGAGCCATTGAATCTAATGGGAAGAAGAACTGGGGGTTTAGAATCAGATGGTTTTTTTGCGTAAAGCGTAATCGGGAGGTGAGTAGAGGACGGCAATCCTGGCTCCAGGAAAAATGCTGTATTGCGCCACCTTTGCCAGCTTCATAACTAGCGGCTCTCCCTTCAATGCGCCCATCTTCAAATTCTTTCCTTTTGCTCTCAGAATCTGACTATATCTACAATCTCCCAAATTCTAATCGTCCAACTCTAGGGCTGAAATGAAAAGAAGATAATGAAGTTGAACGCATACGAAGGGAAGAAGAAGAAGAAGAAATTAATGGAAAGTAGATCATAAACGAAAATTAAAAGTCGAAATCTGTGACCTTGCTGGAGGAGGACATCAACAATTTTTACGGAATGAGGAGTCTAAATATGGCGGTTAGGTTTGGGCTTGTTAACTGGGTTGTAGTTTTTGGACGTAATTTTTACTACCTTTCATGATGTTTAGTTAATTAAAGAGTATTAATCAAAACAATTAAAAAAAGGAAGGTACAGGCCTAATTTCCTCCTTTTTATATGGGAGGATTTTTGGAATTTTCTTTATCATTTCTTTTGCTTAAAGTCGAAAACATTTGTTAGGAGACTGCAACTCATGAAGCCAAATTGCTCAAATTCTAAGAAATTTGCACTATTTGGTTTAGCTAAAAAATGGGTAAAAATCCAAATCAATTTCAACAATTAATTTTAACCACACATTTCATGAGACCCACAACTTTTATTAACTTTTCAACTACACATTTCATCAAATTTTAACCACAACTAAAAAATATAAAAATACATACAAAACAAGAACTGTAGAAACATTTGAATGGTGCAAGGCTATTTCTACCTCCCACCCTTCACATATGACGACATTAATGCTCACGTGACTCCCAACCGTCGACTTCAACACACCAAGCAGTAATATTATTCAGCGAGGGATCAAAGCCAAGGCTCAAAAAATGTCACACAAGCCTAACTCACCGAAGATGTTATAACTTATAACATTGCATAACCACAGTTTGCACTTGCAGAAGGCAACCAATGTTTTAGCTCTATTTTGAAATGAGTGGTACAAAGATTTTAAAAATAATTACACTCTAGGCAAACTTTATCAGAGGGTTTTACTTCAATTTCATATCGCTGGCAAATTGTAAATTCTAGGAAGGGGTAAGCATTAGAACGATCGAGACAAGGGGACTTCTGGAAGGAACGGAAGCTAGAGAAAAAAATAAAAATAAAAAACAATAAAATACAAATACGCCATCTAGCATGCAATGCAGGTTTGACATGCTGTACTCGGAGGGACAGTACTGCATCATATATACAAATAAACTTCTTTATTCTCATTAATTATATCGTGTTGTCCAGTCTATTTTACAAAAAAAAATTCCAGTTGTGTATTAGTGTATTCCCAGAATAACAAATATTGTCTGAAGAGAACTACAGAAGACTCCAAAAAGGATAAAAAATAAATTGACTCTTACGGTTTAGCACCAGCATATTACCGGCAATAATGTACGATATATAAATCTAAACAGAGGGAATGGTAAATCTGTACTGTGGTAAATGCTCAAGCAGACACAAATATAGGTGTGGGCTTACAAATTTGTTGAGCGACAAATTCACTCCTTCGGTCTTTTGCTCATTGTTTTACGCTTACCAACATCCAGATATCTCTTTCTCAACCGGATAGCTTTTGGCGTCACCTGCATAGCCAAGAAAGACCAATACTGAATATTCCCTACTGAAAAGACCAGTGAAATTGCAGTTGCAAAAACTACAATTATTGTTAATCAATAAATATGAGTTTGAGGTAAAGATACACTAGGACCCAAAAAACTCGTGCCAAAGTGATGTAGGATGAATAAAATAGAAGGAAGAAGGAACGGGGAGGAGAAACAGAGAGAAGGGAGAAGAGGAGAAGAAACCAGAGGAAGAGAGGGAAGGGAGAAAACGGCTGCAAGCCACCAAAAAATATTTCAATTCTAATTCATCATCAACTGTCTCAAATGAGAAATAAAACAAAAATAAATAGCAGAACACAAACCCTAAAGAGAAGGGCTTGGGCCAAACCCACTAAATAAGCCCAATAACGAAAACATAAACAATAGTCCAAATAAAATATAACTAATAGTCCAAATAGAAAATAAATAATAAATGGATGTCCGCATCAATTCTCCCGGGGTGGGAGAAAAACTCGACCCCGTCGAGTAGATAAAGCAGAATGTTGCACTGAATTTGATGCGAAAGGCTCCAAGTCATGCCATGGGGGACGATCTTTCTCGATGACCAAATACCGAAACTCCACAAATGATAACAAGGATAGTTGCAGCTTATCCTCAAGGATATGATCCAACCAAGGAGGACGATCTTTCTTT